AAAGCAGTCTCCAGTGCTACAATCAAACAGCAATACAATATCATTTCATCCACAAAATGCACAGTCAGTCCAGTTTACAGACATCTCAAACAACATGATAATACAATAATAATCCTTGCATTTGATATAGTTCCTTATCACATCTTCGAGACATCTCAAAGCGCTTCATAGAATATATTCTCATGGGTATTCTACTACAACAAGAGGCTATTTCTTCAGCAGAAATCTCGTAGGGTTGGCAGGAATTTGAATGGGATACTGTTAAAGCATACTGTAAACTAGACTCCAATAGCACAAAAGAAGTGCTCATCTGACACAGTTTGAAAATGCAGTTTCGCTTTCCATCATTCAGCCATTCACTATATTATTTTCCTCACGTCTCCTTGCTGGAGTGATCTGTTCCCCTTTGCCTTCACACCGTGAAGCTACTTGATTAGAATGTGCTGCTGTTGTATCCAATAAATCTACCTTTTTGTCACTCTTTCCACTATGACTTCTTCACGCACAAAATGCACAGTCAATCCACTTTACAGTATATTCTATGAAGCGCTTTGAGACGTCTCAATGATGTGATAGGTGCTATATCAAATGCAAGGATTATTTATCCAATGTAAATGTAAAAATCGCACATAATAAACTGCTCCTTTGAACCATTTTAATACTTTGAACAAATACCCCAGCATTTATTTTCTTTACACAGTGTATTTATTTGTTTTCACACAGATTTACCACAAAATTGCCCAGATGATGTCTACAGATTAAATTACCCAATCTCAGATATGACTTCCATTTCAATTGGTGTCTGTGAAGAGTTCCAGAGGGTCAGCCACGAGACATCCAAGATAATAATAATAATCCTTGCATTTGATATAGTGCTTTTCACATCTTCTAGATGTCTCAAAGCGCTTCACAGAATATACTCTAAAGTGAATTGACTGTATATTTTGTGGGCAAAATGCGGCAGCCAATTGCGCACAGCAGTGTCCCACGAACAGTCGTGGATTGAAGTGAGCAATTTTATTATTGTTCTTTTCTTGATGGATTATTATCAGGCGTGTGGAGTAAGGAAACTTGCCCAAGGTTTCGTCCTGTTGAGAATTAAACCTAGGTCTCTCGCTTGTGAGGCGAGTGCTCTAACCACTGAGCCAAAGGACTCCACTCCCTGGTGATGCCAATCTATATTGTTGTTTCTGCTTGGGACGAGGCAATACTAGACAACTAGAGATTTACTCTGTGTGAACAACATCAGAAGTGCCTTTATCGCAATCCTTTCCTTCAATCAATGGAGATATCCAGCACAACGGGTTAACATAACTGATTGAATACAATCTATATTATAAGATATAATAACAATCCTTGCATTTGATACAGCACCTTATCACATCTTCGAGATGTCTCAAAGTGCTTCACAGAATATATTGTAAAGTGAATTGACTGCATATTTTGTGGGTGAAACACAGGAGCTAATTGCGCATAGCAGCGTCCCACAAACAGTCGTGGATTAAATGACTAAATTATTTTTATTTATTTTGAAGGAATTATTACCCCCGGAAAAATGATCCGCCAATCGACTAACAACCAGGTTCCTACTTACTGCTAAGTAAACAGAGGCGTGTGGAGTGAGGAAACTTGCCCAATGTTTTGTCCTGCCGGGAATCAAACTCAGGTCCTCTCACTTGCGAGGTGAGTGATCTAACCAGAGCTGCTGGACTCCATATATACACACACACTGAGATTCACTATTACAGAATTACATACATGATACAGCACGCAAATTAGCCATTTGGTCCTTGCTGGGGTTTATACTCCACACAAGCCCTCACCCAACCTATCCCCCTCTCATAGCCCTCTATTATTATTATTATTATTATTATTATTCCCTTCCCCTTCATGTATGCATGTTTCCTCTTAAATGCATTAATGCTTTTAGCTGCAATCACAGCTTCTGGCAGTGAGTTCCACATTCTCACCATCCTCCGCATGAGCACCTAAGCAGGAGGCCAAGAAAGGAAACAAGCCGTTGAGTTTGACAGCACAAGTGGAACAAATCTTGATCTAATAATTGATCCTCTCTCCACTACCACTCAACTTACATTGGATCAAAAGCAGACTGCAGGGCACCAAATAGCATTGAAAACTGAGGCCATAGTAGATTGTGGAGTATTGACATGTGCATTGATTCGGTGTGCTGTTGATTGTTTCTGCTATTTCTGGTTTCATTCTCTCTAATGTTATTCTTCATCTGATGTGGCCAAACTCCATCATTTACATGACTTCAAGTGTCGCCACACTTTACAGTTTGTGCATGGCTCGAATCATCAATTTGGTGAAGAAAGAGGTCTTTCAGCCCATCGTGTTTGTTTACTGGCTCTCTGAAAATACAATCTATTTAGTCTCACTCTGTTTCTCTGTAAGCTTTCATATTAATTATCTGTCCCATTCTGTTTTAAAAACTATGATGAATTCTGCTTCAACCTTTGTTCTTACATCTTCGATGCTTACATTTAACCTTCAGTTGAAAAGCAATAGTATTTCGCCTGCAAAATTCAGTCACTACATTTAAGAGTAAATCATGCACAGCACTCCCTATCAACTCTGTACGAAACCCTCATAATGTTAAGGGCCTCAAGTGGATCTCCCTATAACATTGCCTGTTATAATGAAAATTGGCTACTATGAAATGTCACACATTTTTTATCCATAAATATGTTACAAATCTTTAGCATTTTTCTGGCCAGCTGAGACACAGCATAGCACAGGTTTAATATAGTACCCAAAGAGCAGGGGGGTACCACCTAATTCTTAAGTGGCTGACAAAACCTAGCTGCACCATGTAAATACTGTGAAGCCAGCCTCTGCCTCTGTCAGCTGTGCATTTTGCAAAGCAACAGATACAGTCTGGACTTTTTCTGCCTTTGTGTCTTTTAGGTTGCATAATAAAGAGGCTGTGCTTGTCAACATCTGCTTCACAGAAAGACAGTTCATGAATCCGATCCTGGTGTCCCATGAGAACACAAATACACTCAAGGTACTAATGCTGGACAACTCACGGGCAGGTTAGAGCAGGCACAGGTTTCCCATAGTCTTGAGTTCAGCAACTATCCTATAAATAGCCATGAAATTAATGACCAATTTTATCTGGAGGATTGTTGGCCATAACACTGGAAGAAACTCCTTTACTTTTCCAATAGTGCCATGAGATTTTTAACAGCAACTTGAACAGGCAGACAGGATCTCAGTTAAATATCTCACCTGGCATCTCTGATAATCCAAGGCTCCCGCACCACTGGGGTGTGAGGCAAGACTGCAAGCACAAAGTCCCAATGTGGGATTTGAAACCACAACCTTCTCACCCAAAGTCGAGAGTGCTAACAACTGAGCCAGGCTGACACTGAATACTAAGTAGTTTGATGTTCGAATGAGAGCTGGAAAGATGAGATCAAATTGGCAGAAGAGCCCACTTCATCCAAACCTCTTTTCCCAAGATGAGCTGAGCTTTTTCCAACCATCTTTGCTGTGATATAGATCAGATGAGAGAATCAAACTAAGGAACTAAACATTTTGTAACTGAAAACAGATTGTTTCCCCTTATACACTGGAGATAGCTTAGTAATATCGTGGGCAATTTTTCTTGACAGCTATTGATTGGTTTTCCAAGCACTGAAGATAATGCACCAATTGTCTGACTATTGTCTGATTCGGTCTATAGATGCCTGCAGGGATTTGATTCTTGTCCGTCTTTCAGATGGAGAATCAACACTCTGTGGAAGGCTGAGGCCCATACCGGGTGAAAGCTTATGAACATGTTTAAAATACAATGGGGGTTCAACCCACTGTGGAACTGGGAAGAACTCTTATGTTTCATATCTGTATTGCGAACCTGAATACAGCTATTATAAACACTAACAACACTGGAATACCAATGCTGCTGACTCATTTATTATTTATTGCACCATGTATCTAAACAAATCCTGAAGATCTTGTGGATGGCTCTTAAAATGACTTTACATGCAGCACTTTGTTACTTTACATTTTCCCTTAAAAACTGAATCTGCCAGGAACTTTGTTCTCCTAGCACTTAAGAATAATAATCTTTACATTTGATGTGGTGCCTTATCACATTCTTGAGAAGTCTCAAAGGGCTTCACAGAATACACTGTAAAGTGAATTGACTGTATATTTTGTGGGCGAAACACAGCAGCCAATGGCGCACAGCAGTGTCCCACAAACAGTCGTGGACTGACTGACCACATTTTTTTTGAAGGGATTATTACCCCCGGAACATGATCCGCCAATTGACTAACAACTGGGTTCCTACTTACTGCTAGAAAACAGAGGCATGTGCAGTAAGCAAATTTGCCTAAGGTTTGCCCTGCCCGTGAATTGAACTCGGGTCCTCTCGCTTGCAAGGCGAGTGAGCCAAACACTACGCTACAATACTTATATGCTCTGTCCTAATCCGTACATATTACCATTGGCGATCTGTATTATAGCAGATTTGCATATATTACGTAAGTTTCTGTAGGACATAAATATACCATTGCAGTGTATGAAACTGTAGAAAATGCCAGCATTCAAAAGGATAGCATTGGAGTTTGGAGCAACTGACAGTTGCAATCATCCTTGTATCACAGCAGGATAAATTTATTCATCTGAACAGTGGTAAAAATGCAAATACAACAAGTACACTTACAGAAAAGAGACAACATAGAAGATAGGGAAAGGGAATGAGCAAAAGCAAATACAGATACAGCACAAAAGATTATGAGAGAAGAGCAAGGAAGGTACACAGAGAAAATACTGAAAGATTATATTGCAACACATCTATATTGGAAAAGGGTGAACGAAAAAGAGGATAGAACGAGAGAGGATACAAATCAATGAAATGTGAAAGGAGAGTGAGAAAGGAAGGTGCAAATGGAAGTGAGAAGAATACTGCAAGATTATCTGAAATGGGTGAGTGAGAGAAAGAGAATAAAAAAAGTGTAATTCGCACTTACTGTTGAAAACCACATCACTTTGAGAATCCAGATAGTCAATGCAAAATTCACAACCAGGATGATGAGAAGCAGCAGCACAAATAAATAAAGACAACGCTTCCTCCAGCCATAGATCCCAATCTTGTAGACATATTGGTTCTCAGGCCTCTGTAGGCTATTGCCTTGTGTTGTCAAGTATTGTTCCCGTACCATCTGCTGGGAAAGGGAGAGAGTAGAGATTAGTCAAGTCCCATAATCAACTGTAAACGTCTTTGGATTTAAGACTTTCAATTAAGTTTGCTCAAGTATAGTCACAGGAATACACCTGCAGTTAGAACAAGAGTCCTGTAGCCCAGTGGTTAGAGCACTCGCCTCGCAAGTGAGAGACCTAGGTTCGATTCCCGGCAGGGAGAAATGCTGGTCAAATTTCCTTATTTCACACGCCTCTGTTTACCTAGCAGCAAGTAGGAATCCAATTGTTAGTGAATTGGTAGATCGTTTTTCTGGGGATAATAATCCTTCAAAAAAAACAATAATAATTTGGTCACTTAATCCACGACTGTTTGTGCGCAATTGGTTGCTGCATTTCACTCACAAAAGCAAAGTCAATTCACTTTACAGTATATTCTGTGACACGCTTTGAGACGTCTAGATGACGTGAAAAGCGCTACAGCAAATGCAAAGATTATTGTTATTATTAAGATCAGTAAGACGAGAAATGTTTCAAGTTCCTCGTCACAACTATCAGTTTCGGGAGATTGGAACATTCATTTGTTACATGAAGAAAAATCAAATGGGGGTGACAATGCAATGGTTAAGCAGAGGACTCCCAGCACAAACCATTAATCTGGGATATTAAATTTTTTTGTCATGGACTATTTATCAACACCAACAGCACGCAACAGCTATTTCAATGCCTCACAATGCAGAAGCAAATCAAGTGTTAGAGAGCCAGGCCATTCTGCAGTCTCACAAGAGCTTCCCATCTGTAAAAGCTACATATTTTTTTTCCTTCTGGCTCGCTCCACAAACAAGATATGCTGCCTAAAAACATAATCAAATGAAAGCACAGCTTTGAGTAAGATCTCTTTACAGTTTCAGAATTGCACAAGGGAATAAAGGTTTTATTGGGCTCAGCATATATGATTTAACAAACATGATTAAATCGCCACCCTTTTCCTGCAAGAGAACTATTCCAATCTCTTAAATGAGTTTGATGTGGGACTCCTCCTGAACAAGGCTATGCTTCTAACATGCCCCAATTCTCTGCAGTAACCTCCAACTGTCAAGCTCCATTCTTAGCCTCTCTTCTGCTACAGCTACATGTCCCTTTGGGTTTATTAAAACTCCAACTTAAAAAAAGAAACAAGCAGATTATAATTGCACCTGACTAGAATCTTGGATCACGTCCCTTAAATCTTACCCACCGCCAGCTGTAGTGATCCTTTCATGTGTCACTCTATACCCCTTGTTTCTTGCAGGTAATTCACTCCTTTTTCCTTTCATTGAGATTTGGCTCCATGGATGCCAGTTGCCCTCTTGTACTCTGCCCAAGTGACCATTATTCATACCTGAACCTCAACACTGAGTGTTGGCAGAGAACATTGAATCCGAGGCCAATCCTGTGCTCGTGTACAATCACACCTGCCTTAGGGATCACAAGATAGTAATCAGAAACAGGAAACAATTTCTCCATCTTTAATGTGGGCACTAAGATCAATCGTATCACTCCTATTGTCACCGTGGCTGAGATCAGCTAACTCGGCAAAGAATTATAATGGGAATTTCCCTGTCAATTGCTCAATGGATAAATCTGCTGAGCCATCCGGGGAGTTCACCTATAATTTAGGCGACTTCTAAAGATCCCAAAATGTGGGTGAGTTACCAATTCACGTGCTACATTTCAGGTTGGGTTATCTATGTGCTAATATGGCAAACATGTACCCTTAATTTTGTACTTAGTGACCAATTAAAGAAATTTCCAATCGCTCTAATCCTTTGGTTGCAATTGCAATAACAAACTTAGATTTGTATAGCACCTTTCATGTCTGGAGGACCTCGCAAGGTGCTGATTGTACACTCCAGTGCAATACTGGGTGGGGGGGGGTTGCAGCATTGTTGGAATTGTTGTCCTACAGAGGCAACGTTAAAAGAGAAGGAAATTTCTCCAGGTGTTCTGACCAATAATTTCCCAGATAAAATTGGTCATTTACTTCATGGCTGTTGGTGGAATATTTAGAAAGGATGTTTAGATCTCACAAGCAGATGTATGGAGTGCTTGAGGCTAATGGTTATGTTGTAACCCCTGGGGTCGATCACTATCCTGGTGGATGTTGGTCTTGTGGAGTGACTTTGAATGTACTTCAGTATCTGTTGGTTGATCAACATTTGAATTCGGTGGATGGAACTCACTTCAATTTTTTGTTTGCCTACAAATACACAATCATTACATTTTACAGTAAATCCTGTGAAAGTGCTTCGAGTTGTTTCAACAATGTGATTATTATTATAATGATAATCCTTGCATCTGATATAGCGCTTTTCACGTCTTCTCAACGTCTCAAAGTGCTTCACAGAGTAGATTGTAAAGTGATTTGACCGTATATTTGTGGGTAATTCCCCCCCATTCCCCTCATCTGCAAGACCTGCAATGCTTGGAATTGTTACCTCCCCCTCAACAACTCCTGTGGCACTGCCTGGTGCTCGAAGCAATGACACTTTTCCCAAGTACCAGGGCCAGATGGTCCCTTTCAACAATGGCACGCATTCCAAATGGGAAACTTTCCACTGATGTGGCAGGGCAACAGCAGGCAGCAAGTAAAATGGCTGCAGGCACATTGTGCTGTACAAGACAGCTTTCTTGGCCGAGTTAAGGAAAACCACTCCTCCTCTGTAATGATCTTACCCACAAACTGAAGGTTACCAAGAATACAAACTACCTAAAGTGCTCCTGGCTACTGTCTCATGTATTTGACTGACAGCCTCCTTCACAGTTCAATGACTTCAGAAAGATTTAGGCATTGCTTTTTGACTACCTTTTGAGGAAAGGTAGCAGTGTCTAAAACATCTTCCCTCAGCTTTTCTTACAGCAAAGAGCCCTCCGCCTTTTCAAAGAAAAAAAATTCTGCAGTTTAACACTGCAACACAACACTACATTACATTTACAGAGTGCCTTTCATGTCAGGAGGATGTCCCAAAGTGCATTTATAGTGCTGGACGGGCACTAGAATTTGGGGTGGGGAGTGGAAAGATGATTGAAAGTGTGGTCAATTAAGGTACATTTGAGATTTGCCTTGAAAGAAATCTAGATGGAATTCCAGAGAACAGGGGCAGAACAGCTGCAAGTCTGGTGGGGATGGTGAGGCAGTTAGGACGGGGGACAGGAAAGATACTGATGCTCAACGAGTGCTGACTGAGTGGGAAGATCCCTGCCCTCAGTGATGCTCATTGACATTAATTATTTGTTATTATTAACTTGCCAACAATTTTAAATCATTCTCACAATCCTTAAATTGTCATGCCTTTGTTCAGTAGGAGACGTTCACCTGTTAATTAAATGATAATTATGCATAATTCTGTCTATCTGTTAATAATGTTCTTTTGGTTTCTTTCACTAATAGAAATGGCCTTAAAGTTTGGTCTTAAAGAGATCCTATTCTCTGACCCCACATTTAATACAAGTTTATTGACCCTATAGGACTGTGTAACTGTTTTGGCTTCCATTCGGAGCTGCTGTGCAGAAGATTGAAAAGAATTTGGTGACACAAGACGCATATGGATACTTGTTGGACAGCATGAATTCAGTGCGGAAACATGACTAAACATGACCAAGCACTGGAAAAATACTGTGTCCTGAATGGGAACCTCTTCTACTTTTCATGGTTGCCAGAACTTGTTGAGTTGCCTAACTAACTTGTCAGTGGGCCTCTTGCAGACTAAACTAACTGGCTACGTCAATCCCACGTGCTGGATCGATCTAGGGACGAAATGCACCTCCCTCAGAATACCTGAGCTCAACTGAACTAGTGCAAAACAACCCACTAGCTGATATTAGCACTTTGTCTACCGGAATTTCTAACCTCTTATGACTTATTCTCCAGATAAAATTGGTCATGGCTGTTTGTAATAATTGGCTGCTGCATTTGTCTGCAAAATATGTAGTCTCTTCAAAATATGTAGTCACTTCACTTTGCAATTAATCCTGTGAGGCGTTTTGATGCGCCCTCCTGACATGAATGATGTTATATCAAAATAAAGGATTACTTATCATTATAAGTATTGATAACATTGGGCCCATCATTTCACCTTCAAGGCTATTTTATCTTAATATTTAAAACTGAAGAATTCAGAAACATTCTTAATTCAGTCTTAATTCGAAAGACATCTATACGTAAAGTACCAGCTTCCAAATTAGGGCTAAATTTAAGAATCTATCTACAGTTCTGCACAATCTTAGATTTTAAGACTAAATGGCCTTCTAGGTGATGCCTAAGTGAATTCACGCCTCTGATTTCTACTTTCTTGTGAGGGTTTCTAATACACACAGCATTTGACCGTTTGCCTGATGTTATTTTATTTATTTTCCCCTTGTAAGTCTCCACACAACATGAACCATCCTCCAGCAGAAAGGATGGCCAAAAGGCCTACTCCCAGGCCTCTGCTCATGTTGTTGACAAGCTGTGTGACTAACCTTTGATTTCCCCTTGCTCCACGTGGAGAAGTGCCTGACATTTTCCCCGATGTCATGCTGAGACTGAGAACTCACCTTGCAGGAAATTGTTAGTGCAAACATGTTTCCAACTGCTCTGCCTGTACATCACAGCTCTAATGAGTATACCACCCGCTAGCTATCTATCAGATACTCCCTTCATTTGCTGAAACCTGCAATCGTGCAATCTGTACCTTCTAAATCGAAATAAACATAAAATATGGCATTCACAAACAAAATTCACTGCGCTACTTGCGACTTGCATTTTACATCTGAAATGACACAAAATTGGCTACCACTTTCGTCCACAAAATAGACAGCTTTACTTTATAATGAATCCCGTTAAGAGCTTTAAGACATCATCCTGACGTGAAAGACTCTCTTTCAAATGTAAGGATTATTATAATTACAGTAAACTCCTGATAACTCTTAACATCCAGGGAAAAGGGCTAAGTAATGAGTTATCTGGAGTAGCGAGTTAAACATATGTATAAATACATAAATA